GGAAGGACTAAACCCCCCCTCCCATTTTCTGGCTAATGTCCTCCTTTGCCAGGACACGTCCTCCATTTCAGCCTTTTGCCTATGAAGGATTAAGAAAGGCCGCCCATTTTCAGCCAGTGTTCTCCTTTTTGAGGACATGCTCTCTATTTCAACCCTTCTCTCCTGGAAGGATTCCAAAGGGTCCTCCTTTTTTAAAGGACATTTAGGGTGACCAGTGTCTCCTTTTCCAGGACATGGCCTCCTTTGCAGCCTTCTGTCCAGGTGGGATTCCAAAAGGTCCTCCATTTTGTCCTCCGTTTGGAGCATTGACTAAGAAGCATGAATTTATATTTATATGAGTGTATTTAGCTTTTATATTTTGCAATGCTTTACATTTTTCGTGAATGTCCTACATTTTACGATGCCTCATCCTCCTTTGCAGTTATGACATCTGTTCATCCTGCTGTGTCCACTGGCCTTTATGTCATGGGGGGAACTCCCCCCCATGCCCAGACATCCTCCTTTTCCTGGACATGTCCTACATTCCAGCTTTTCTGGCCAGGAGGAATCTCAAAAAGCCCTCCAGTCTGAGCATGGCTAAGAACATGGATTTTCATTTATATTAAGTGCTCTTAGCTTTTTATTTAATAATGTCCTACATTTTTCTGGACTGACCTTCATTATAGAGTGTCTTGTCCTCCTTTTTGGTTAGGACATCTGGTCACCCTGCCTCTCCTTTCTTTCTTCTTAAGGCTTGTACCCCAACCAGTTTTCTTCTCTCCCCCTCCCTCCCAATAATTTTATAGACCAGCACAAATAAGTTAAAAATTGGGCTGTGACTCTGGAGACCAGGGTCTGATTCCCCACTGGACTATGAAACTGACTGGTTGACCTTGGACAAGTCACAGTCTCACAGCCTCAAGAGGAAGGCAAATCTTGCCAAAGAAACCCCATGATAGGGCCAACTTTTGTTCTTCAAGTCATTTCCAACTAAAGTGAACCTATCCTGGGGTTTTCTTGGCAAGATTTGTTCAGAAGAGGTTTGGCATTGCTTTCCCCTGAGGCTGAGAGCATGTGACTAGCAAAAGGTCATCCAGTGGGTTTCATGGCCGACTTGGTACTAAAACACTGGTCTCCAAAGTTGTAGTCCAACACTCAAACCACTGCCCCATGCTGGCTCTCAGGGACACCTTAGGATCGCCATAAGCTGGAAATGACTTTTGCACAACTTTTGCACAACAGCAACAACAGAATTTGACTGGGTAGCCTAAAATGCAAATTGGCATAAAATACACTTAAAAGCGTAAGACAAAAATTTGACCAGGTGGCAAAAAATACAAATTGGCATAAGTGTATTTATTGATTTATGGGATTTGTTTCCTGCCAGTCTCCCCTAATAGGATTCAAGGCAGCTTAAGCCAACCAACCCTCCCACCCAATATCTCCTTGGGGTTTTACAGAGAGCCTCCTTAAACTATTCTTATGCTGCTTCTGCTTGTATTACCTGTCACCACTTGTGGATATGAGAGTTGGAAAGTGAAGGAAGCCAACAGGAATAAAATCAACTGATTTGAGATGTGGTGTTGGAGAACAGTGCTGAAGATACAAATAATTGGGTCCTTCAACAGATCAACCCTGGAACTCTCCCTGGAAGTCAAGATAATCAAATTGAGGCTGTTGAACTTTGGCCACATCATGA